CTTCTCCCTCTAGCGCCAGCACCTCCAAGCTCCATCGGACACTGCTCGGAGGCGCTGGAGGGTGGAATGGGGGGCCCCCACCTGGGACGTCCGCGGGTCGCCAGCAGGTTGTCCAGTCGAATGGCCATGTCCACCAGCTGGTCAAATGTTAGTGTAGTGTCCCTGCAGGCTAACTCCCTGCGGACGTCCTCCCGAAGGCTACATCGGAAGTGGTCTATGAGGGCCCTCTCATTCCACCCCGCATCAGCCGCTAGAGTCCGGAACTCCAGCGCAAACGCCTGAGCGCTCCTCATCCCCTGTCGGAGGTGGAATAGACGTTCGCCCGCCGCTCTCCCCTCTGGTGGATGGTCGAAGACCGCACGGAAGCGACGGGAGAACTCCGCATAGGTGACTGTGGCGGCGTCTATTCCCCTCCATTCGGCGTTGGTCCACTCCAACGCCTTGCCGGTGAGACAGGAGATGAGGGCGGAAACGCTCTCGTATCCCGAGGGCGCCGGGTGTATGGTGGCAATGTAGAGCTCCACTTGTAAGAGGAACCCCTGACACCCGGCAGCGGTGCCGTCGTACGCCCTCGGGAGCGAGAGCCGAATCCCACTGGGTTCCGGTCGATGGACGGGCTGGCTGTCCGGTGGTGATGGTGCGATAGGTGGGGCTGTGGGAACCCCGCTGGTCTCCCATCGACGAAGGGTGTCCATGACGCCCTCCAAGGCGTGCCCGATTCGGTTGATCCGGTGCTCTTGACCAAGGAGACGCTCCTCCATGGGGTCGACGGGTGCTCCTGCTGATTCCATGTTGAGGTGTGTAATTCTGTCACGTTGCTGTGTATAGGTGTGGTGTAGAATCAGGCGCAGGCAGCAGAGGATAAGTCCAACAAGACTTTACTTAAGCACAAAAATATATCCAAAACAGCCCGGAGGCAAAAGGACGCACACAGGCGTAAATGCGAGTGCACACACAGGTGCGTAAAACTCTCCTAACACACAAGGAGGAAACTAAGGAAAATAGCGTACCGACACGGGTAGCGCAACCACGACACGAACAATTACACACAACACTAACCTAACAACAAGGAAACTAAATAGGGTGCTAAATGAGACCTAACACAAAACAGGTGTGACTAACAGACAAAACCAAACAAACAAGAAACATAGAGCGGTGGCAGCTAGAACTCCGGAGACGACGACCGGCGAAACCTGCCCGAACAAGGAGGAGGAGCCGCCTCGGCCGAAACCGTGACAGTCTGCCTGACGGTAAGGGAGTGAACAGCTCATTGCGGGGGTGTGTGGTGTCCTTGATTATATTGCGGGCCTTCCTCAGCCAGCGTTTAAGTAGATGTCCTGGATGGGTGGGAGCATACAGATTTTCCAATGAGTGTACAAAACATTAAGAACACCTTCCTAATATTGAGCCCCCCCCACACCCCCACACCCCTTTAGGCCCTCAGAACAGTCTCAATAAAAGATGACAAAAGTGAAAGTCACCCAGTAAAATACTTACTGAGTAAAAGTCTAAAAGTATTTGGTTTTAAATATACTGAAGTATCAAAAGTAAATGTAATTGCTAAAATATACTTAAGTATCAAAAGAAAAAATATAAATCATTTCAAATTCCTTATATTAAGCAAACCAGATGGCACAATTTTATTTATGGATAGCCAGGGGCACACTCCAACACGCAGACATAATTTACAAACGAAGCATTTGTGTTTAGTGAGTCCGCCAGATCAGAGGCAATAGGGATGACCAGGGATGTTCTCTTGATAAGTGCGTGAATTGTACCATTTTTCTGTCCTGCTAAGCATTCAAAATGTAAAGAGTACTTTTGGGTGTCATGGAAAAGGTATGGAGTAAAAAGTACATTATCTTCTTTAGGAATGTAGTGAAGTAAAAGTTGTCAAAAATATAAATAGTAAAGTACAGATACGCCCCAAAAACTACTTAAGTGGTACTCTAAAGTATTTTAACCTAAGTACTTTAACCACTGAGTAATGATGTATGGTCACTAGGATGGGCATTTGGACACATGGACACCAGTTGGTTAGCTACTCTCCCCTTCCCAAGGTCAGAGTGATTGTGATGACTATCATTAGTTGTGAGTTGAACCCTCAATAACAAAGAGAAGGTTGATAGGTTGATAACATCCCCCTCAGTGGACAAGGAGGGAAGGAACCTCTGACCCGTGTTCACACTCACTCAACTAGGCCACTGATCTTTCAGAGCATACCATCCCCAAGGTTAGACCAAGTAGATTGTCACCCCAAAAGATGACATGTCTGAATCTGAGTTGCTTGTAACTTACAAAAGTATTTAAGAGGGGTTACGATAACCCGTCCATGTCACATCACCCCAAAAGATGACAAGCCAGCCTGAAATAAAAGTCTGAATTTTAGCAGCACCACCAGAAGAAATGTGCTAATGGTTTGCTGCTAACACTAACTGTTATTACAGCATAATGGCAATGTTGTGTTTGACCTCATCGTCCCCTCTGGCTAATGACTCCAGAATGGGACTATAAGCATGAACCAGACACCACAAACCTGGTGGATCTCCTATGAATAGGCGCCACAGATGGTGGCCCTTGTGTTAATCATTCACTACTGCTGTGGTAGGTAGCTACTGATCCAGTCTGGGCTATTCCTGATCTCATAAAGCCACTCAGTTTTAAATCAGCATCTGAGCACCAGAATGAAATCAATTCCTCTTAATCTAGTGTAAATATACTATTGAATGCTGGGCAACCACAAACCAAACTACCGGTAATTCCCTTCATCCCCTCCTGTCACACACACACTACCACCAATTGTATTAGATTGGGATGTTCAGTGCTAAAGTCAGATGCTGTGTTGTTAGTGGATAAGCTGTTGGCTCTGTGACAATAGGTGATTATCAACTGAACTTCACTCACAAACAGAATGTCCGTAACATTGTGTGTGGATGGAGACTGAACACATGTAGATTTAGGGTGGCCTTTGTGTTTGTCCCTCGGGCCAGGAGTTTTTCCTGACCATGCGATCTGATCAGCAACAATAGCCTGTTGCTAGGGCTCAGTGTTCTCCTGGTCAGGAAACACTCCTGGCCCTATGTTCTGACGTCATATGTGTACCATGACTTGATAAGTGAAGTAAATTGTCGCCCAGTTATCTTATTCAAAAGGTGTAGGTTCTGACCTTATTTAACATGGATTGTGAAGACTACACTGTACAGTAATTGGTGAGCTATCAAGTTGGTCCAAATGTCATATCAACAAACCAACAACAAAGCCAATAATTGGGCCAAACTTGGCATTTCCGTCTCTTGTAATTTGGAAGGAGGACGCTGTGTGATGCTACTCCCATTAAGTATCCATGCTGTCATATGAAACAACTTTAACAGTAACTCAATAGTGGCATTATCATGCTTACTCATAGAAGGTATAATGATCCAACAGCCTGTCAATTAAGTAATTAGGGTGTAATGTCGTACTGTATATCAGGTGAACAATACAAATAAATACAAAATATTTATCAAAACAAACATTTTAATACGCACACAGACATTTCCATGTATATCAAGTCATAATGAACAGCTTCACGAGTGTGCATTAAAATAAATATGTCCAAAATAATTTTCTTTAAAAAAAAATTATTAAACATGCTGTTGAAACAACTTGAACAGTAACTCAATAGTGGCATTATCAAGACAGTAGTCTTCTCAAACAGTTCACAGCTTTACTGTTCATGGTTGTTGGTGTTACAGATATCACGTTGCTTGCTTAGCGAGTATCACTTCCCCCTGATTCAGCTCGTACCTGGCTCGAACTCGGGACCTCTGCTTTGCTAACACACGTGACCGCCCTCCTTGACAACATTCCAACGGTTTGAGCTACCCAAAAGGTACCAATTGGATGGCTCCGTCCGCGACATTTCAAGCTAGCTGTGGAGTGAGCTTACGGTATGTTCTTAACTCCGTTACATGGGCTCACAATGAATTAAGTCAGATACGTTTTCCATCAGCAGTATTGTTTAAAACCCTGAACATCTAGGAAAGTCTAAGGCTGCGTTGTTGGTTGGCTCGACTAGGAAGGTTGTGTTGTAGGTTGGCCTGTTTTCCAGTCTCTCTGCATGGGCGGAATGTCTGTGATCCAGTATTGAAACAGTGACACAACTGCAGTGTCATCATCTGGAAAGACAAGAGACAAATGTTACATTACAATTAGTTAGTTAGTTATTTAATGAGGTCATTATTGCTGCTCCATAGTGGTGAGGACAAGTAAACAAATTATCCTAGGCTAAGTCCAGTATTGTACTGCCAGTGTACTCCTGTCACCTACAGTACCTCACTGTTTCCTAACAGCTTCCCTTTCCCCCTGCGATATGGCTTTCATCTGACTGTTTCGTTCAAGCAAAAATTCAAAGGAGATTCCATTCAGCCGGTGCATGAAAGTCATCAAATAAAACTGCCAGCAGGCAGGCAGCAGACGTCATCCCTGAGCGAGAGGTGTTGGGTGAAACAGTGAAATATAAGCTGTGGGATATTCTTTAGCGCTGCCCCATGGTGAATTGATTCCTCCTCTCTCTCAGTGCTGAAGAGAAGCTGCAGTGAACTGTAAAAAGACTTGAAGGACTTTAAAACAGGCTAAACCAACAGCACACAGCAGGCTTACTGGGCTCAAGCATGGGTGGCCAGAAGCAGCTGGCTTTATTCCACTGGTGGCCATTTCCATTTGTGTTTAGCTAGATGAATATCCCACTTTGCATTTGCCACCTAAAACAAAGTAAAGCATTTATCATACCCCATTGTTTGACATTCCGTTTAATGGAAATGTGCTTTTAGCAAAAAATAATATGGGGGAATATGTTGCCGCTCTGACACAATACACAGGTGGGAATAGATTTGTTTTAACATACTTTTTTATTTCCCCTTTAATGACTAATTAAGTTTCAGGGAAATCCACAAAGCGTGTCCACATCTGGGGAGCAGGTGGAGGGACCAGCAAGAATATGCTGTGTGGTTTGAGTCTATTCAGAGTCTATTGTTGGAACTGATCACTGGTTTGGACTGGAGCCTGTTTTCCTCCTCAGCGTTGCCTTAGCGATGAGAACGGAGCGATGTGTGTCACTATAGCCACCTGCTCAACCATGCCCTGAATCCCCTGGACAGAACAGTCATATAATACACCAGAGTAGTACACTCTGCACCAGGGACAGCCAGGTATCCACTGATCCTATTAGTCAGTAGGACTGGGAATTGCCAGGGACCTCCTGATACAATATTATCACAATACTTAGGTGCCAATACAATATGTATTGTGATTCTCACAATTCTATATGCATTGCGATTCGATGCCGCGATTTTATTGCTATTTCATGTTCCAAACATATTGGTCCGCTGCAGAGAGACCATGACCACTGAGTTTTGATCAGTCATGGAAATAAAAGTGATGTTGGGGGTCAATTCCATTTCAATTCCAGTAAATTCAGGAAGTACTCTGTAATTCCAATTCTCTTCAATGCTTTTCAATGTAGAACATGTGGAATTGGAATTAGAATTTGTTTTACTTTCTGAATTGAATGGAATTTAAATGGAATTGACCCCAAACCTGTTTCTGCGTCCCAAATGTCACCCTATTCCCTACATAGTCCTCTGTAGCTCAATTGGTAGAGCATGGCGCTTGTAACGCCAGGGTAGTGGGTTCGATCCCCGGGACCAACCATACGTAAAAATGTATGCACACATGACTAAGTCGCTTTGGATAAAAGTGTCTGCTAAATGGCATATTATTATTATAATTATAATTATTATTATGTAAACATGTTGGCTCAGGTACAGCCGACTAGCTGTAGGTAGCGCTAATTGGCCAAAAAAAACAATACAATATCGCCAAAAATAATATTGCGATATGTAACTTTATCGATTTTCCCTCACATCACTATTAGTAGGGTGTCCAATCAAAAACGCATATTTTGACCAATGGGTAAAATGTAGATGCTCCTCTAAGAAAACCAATGGTCCAAACCTCATGTCTTTATCATAATCTGTTCAAAAATTATTGGCGTTTTTACCCTTGTTGGATAGCCAAAATTAAGGAGGCCAGACATTTTCTTTCTTTCAAAAATCAGCTAAATAGAATCGCGTCAGCTAGGCTGAATGCTGTGCGAGAATTGAGGCAAACTGACAGTCTCACCGTTGAACTCATCACCTTTCTTCTCGAATCCGGAGGACATAAAACTATATCGAGGTAAGATATAAAGTCGCTGCGAGAAAACGTCGCCGCTACTGTATGTCAACAGAGCTCGGTGCTTATTATCGGACGTATTAAGTTACGAAATCCAACTTTTTGAATATAATGTTAAGGATATGTTAGAGAAAGACTCCACTGAACGATTCAGAACATGAAAAATCATATTTGTCTTGGTAAAATTTACTTTATAACATAAGGAAGTGAAATTTCATGAGTGGGTGGACAACCTACTATTAGTCAGACAGATTTGAACTGACCCAAATACACACCTGAGGCCATCTCATTCACAATTTCCAGACCTGTACAAAGTGTGGTCTCCTGGTGATTTTCAAACGGCTTAGTGTTTGGATAGGTGAGAGCATGTATGGGTAAGGGATAGTATGGACAGGTGTGGTCTGGTATGTAAAGACAGGTATTGACAGGTGAGGGACGATACTGACCGGTGACTGTATGCATGTGTACGTGAATGGCGAGCTCAGACAAAGATTAGGTTAATCCAGCTGAGGTAAAACCAGATAAGACTACTCACCAGGAGACATGATAGAGCTGTTCTGGAGCTCCTGCAGAGCCTTGGCCATCCTTGCTGTGTCCTGTTGCTGCACCAGGAGCTTGAGGGTGTGGAGCTGGGCCAAAACAGCAGGGGGGAATGTTCCAGTGGACAGGCTCAGAAGGCCCTCCACTACCACAGAGGAGCCTGCTTGCAGGCGATGAGCCTGGAGAGTGTGAGGAAAGAGTAGGAGATACTCTTACTCCACCAACCATTATAAACTCCGTTGCTGAATGGGCCTGTGTCCAATCACCTGGTCTATCTCTAGACTGAGGTGCATATTAGGGAGAGGAGCATCTGGCCCCTTTAACTGAATTACAGTGGACATTTCTAGAGGTCTTTCTTATTATCCTTCCACACTAATTCACCAACAGAGAAACCTTCAACCCTGGAACCAATGGGATTCTTTGGACTGACTGACTGTCTGGTCATCCAGAGGCAAGTCATGGAGGGATTATGACAGACCAGATGACTGAGCCTGTCCATTACGCTTGAGCATGATGAAGTAAATCCAAACACCTCAATGCACCTCTACACCTCAATGCACCTCTACACCTCAATGCACCTCTACACCTCAATGCACCTCTACACCTCAATACCTCAATGCACCTCTACACCTCAATGCACCTCTGCACCTCAATGCACCTCTGCACCTCAATGCACCTCTGCACCTCAATGCACCTCTGCACCTCAATGCACCTCTGCACCTCAATGCACCTCTGCACCTCTATTCCTAAATCTCTCAAGGTCCTCAAGTTTTTGTTATAGGCTAGTGATTAATGAGCTGTACTTTCACTTTCAATTTGAGTCATGCTCTGCACAGTGCTGTTCAAATTATTAATTTTCTGCCAATCCGAAAGCTATAAAATTAACTATGCTTCAACACTTTTGGCCAGCTCTTAGGAAGACTGAAACACAGCCTAGGCTATATGTGACTGTATCTGGGTTGATTGATTATCTGGGTTGATTAGCAGCCAGGCCTGGTATGACACACTCACGATCAGATCTCTTGTGTGGTCCTGAGGAAGTCTATCACTTCAGCTGCTCTTCTCTGCCTCATCTCTTCCTCCTCCTATTCTTCTTCTTCTTCTTCTTCTCCCCCCCCCCTCTCTCGTAGGTGAACTCCAGAGCTGCAGCATGGGGCACCAGACCCAGAGACAAGAGCTTCTGTTTGTGATGTTTCCTCTTCAGCTTCCTCCTCTTCTTGCTGAGCCACACTCCTTCCTCCATGGGGGTCAGAGGCATGGTTGTATCCCCAGGATTAGAGTCTGTACCCTGGGCCGCTCCGTCCACCACTGTCTCACCTCCTGGAGCTGTAGTTCCTATTATTATTATTATTATTATTATTATTATTATTATTATTACTTCCTCCGTCGTTGTCTTCTACCTCTTCTTCTCCCTCTCCATCTTTGTTGGACTCATGAGTGTTCTCATCTGAAGGGAACAAGGAAAAGTGAGAGCTTGTTAACTTTCATGACTTTCACAAACTAGTGTCTAATCCCTTAAAGCTGGAATCCTCAATTGTAAAACTGCCACGTCCTTTTGCGATATTAGAACAACAAAGAAGTTACTGCAAACAACAAACACCGTTTTTCCCCTCTGACATCATCGCATGCAGCTGCATATGTAGCGCAATTTGTTGAACTACCATGCACGACACTCCCCAACTCTGCTTCGCCAACAAAAACAATAACAACGGCCATGGCGCTGTTTCCCCATATTGCGGATTCCAATGCAGCCGTTTTATATCAATATCAAATCCATTCTAGGTAACAATTACGTATCTTACTGTAATAGTTTTTCCATTAAAATGGACAAAAATAACTTTTTAGCCGTCACGACTTCTGCCGAGGCTGCCTCCCCTCCTTGTTCGGGCAGGTTTCAGCGTTCGTCGTCACCGGCTTCCTAGCTACTGCCGATCCCATTCTCATCACTCCACTTGTCATGTCTTGTCTTGTCAATCACACACACCTGGTGCTCATTTCCCTAATTAGAATATATTTAAGTGTTCCCTCTGTTCCCCTTGTCTTTGTGAGTGATTGTTTCATTATGAGAGCGAGTAGCTCGGTTGAGCTAGTCTTCCATTTGTTATTGCCAAGGTGGAATATTTCCCTTGTGACAGTTTCGTTTTGACGCTGGGTGTGTTTTATTTATGTAAACGGAATAAACTCTGGACTTCGGTGTTTTACCTCCTGCGCCTGACTCCTTCATTCACACCTCGTCACATTAGCAAAAAAACGATTTCTCAAGCAGAATTTAGCTAGGACTGTCTGGGAGTGGTCTGAGTGGGGAGGGGAAAACTGAAAACTAGAAGTTTGGAACTCTCTTTGTTATTGGTCTATTAACTAATTCCCCAGGCAAGCAGAAACTCATGCCCATGCAAACCTGCTGATTAGAAGGTCCTGTGTAGATTGCATTTTCAACCAGCAACTATCAAGAAATAACATTGATTTCACACTGTTACCATGTTAGTTTCATCAGCTGTTGTACAATATGATACAAAACACAGGAAAAACATTTTGACTGCCCTGGGCCTTTAAGGCATGCATCCCATTTGGCTGTAGTACTGTGCTATGGTAAGTCTCTGTGATCCATATTCATCAAAAGTATCAATTTCATAGCACTTGGAATCCGCCACCTTCAACACCATGTCTACCCGGCCTTTGACACAAGACTTTGTTTATTTGGTAGCAGATCAAGCTAATTCAGCCAAGCAGCACCCCTTGGATGACCCTGCCTACAGACCTCTCTGTAGCTGAGGGGCTGGATCGACGCTCCAGGATGGGTGAATGTCCACTGTCCAGGATCACAGAGCACAGTGGTCAAAGCTGACTGAATCGCCTGATCCCTATCCACTGTGGTAAAGGTGGGGCCTGCCTACACACAGCAGAGAGTGGAGGTTTTCCCCAGGGTAACTGGTAGGTAGAGAGGCTGTGTAGGTAGAGAGGCTGTCTCGAATTCAGCAACTCAACCACAGTCTATAGACTCCAGCACCCCTACCGCAGAGCATGCATGCACACACTGTTAGGTTGGCGGCACACACACACCACACTCTTTCTCTAGGCTTTCAGCAGAGCGTCGATAGCTTATTAGTCTGAAGGGGAAGCAGCTACCATATGGGCAGCTGTGCAGAGATAGAGAAAGTTGCATTTTAATTATCTTAAGTTGACTTATTTATCCATTTTCAGCTGTGAAAGGAAAACAGCACAAATAAAAAGCTGGTAAATTATTATTCACAGCATTTCCATAAAACTAATCATAATAAGCATGTAGGAAGCGATTTGCTTTTGGAGGCAACATGTGAATTCTGCGGCAGATATGGGGCTAAGCGGACATGGGCTCCATAATAGATGCTTAATGCAGCAAATGTGGTTCAGCATGGTCCAGTCAATCAATAGTGGCTCAAAGACAGGCTGTCCTGTAGAATGAGGACGGACGTGTGGTACATTCACACGCACGCATAGTATTAGTCATGAGAAAATGGTCTGTTTAAACAGGCAACAGGTGAACTGCAGTCATCTAAGGAATGTGAGTCACACTGTTCCCTCTAGTGGTCAGGTAGGCAAAGTCTATTAGTGATCTAGAAACAACATTGTAATGTTGACAGGAGGGATGAATAGTATGGTCATCCAAGGTCTCTCTAATGAGTAAATCTAAACCACTATCATTCTTGGCTGAGTTGGTCCCTCACGTCACACTTTTACTTTCTAAGAACTCCAAGGCCTTGCGGGAGGTTGAAGGAATTAGGCTTTTTGAAACAAATTCCTTGTGACATGCACACACACACACAGGCCCAAAACTACTCACATACTAGCTCCAGTGGGCTGGGGAGCCCAAATACAATGCAGTAGAGTTGTTATTAACTAGCCTAACAGCTGTAAACATTGCTCTTACAGTGTCAGATTAAAATTCATTATTCCGTCACTTGAGTATTGCTGAGCTTCTCTCCATGCCTCTTTACTTGTTTTTGGTCTGCACTGTGCATTGAGATTTTCCCATAAGTGGGCCTTTGCAAATATGCAATACTTATGATGACTTCATTCCTTGTTAAGATTTGAATTAAAAATAGAGAACTGCATCATGTGTATAGGCTTAACTGCTCTACATGGAAATATTTAAGCTATTATTCAAAATAGACACATCTGCCACGGTAAATGTTAAGGGACTTTGAAGTAACAAAAATGGTAATGTATTTTCATGACTATGAGGTTGTCATTGTGCTCTTTACTTTCTCCATGGTAACAACACATATTTAAAGCGGTAGGCCTACTGTACCTGCAAGCGTAGCACAGAGCCACAGACACAAACATCCACTCCAAACCACTCTACTACTCCATGTGTACTGCTACAAGATTAGGCCTATCCTGTAATTGCTAACCTCTACTACTTCTAAAATAGTGTTGCTTGTCAGAAAAATCTAATGGCCAAGCATTAAAGGTGCAATACGTAGAAATCGCTCAGCCATTTCCTGGTTACTAAAATTCTAATAGTTTATGTGACAAAACAAGCAATGTAGAGAATAATTGTACCATCTAAACCGCTGTGAAATATATTTTCAATAAACAAAAATATTGTATTTTCAGCTGTGTGAAGATGGTGTACAAAACCGAAAGACGCAAAAACAAAAAACTTAAGAACGGGAAGCATAGAAATAGCGCACATAGAACCGATCTACCGCGTCTTAGACTTGCTTTCAATGAGAATGACAGATCTATAACTCACACTTCTATGTGAATTTGGTCAGGTCACCCAAAAAGTTACATATTGCAGCTTTAAGAGAAAGTATTAATAGGCCTAAATTGCTGACTCGGCCTAAACCATTGTAACGGGCAAATATAGCTGAATTGAGTATGCCTCGATGTCATTAATTCTTGAGTTGCTAGAAAAACATTATGTCTTCCAATTCATTAACACAATTGCTGCAGGGTGCTAGTAAAGTGGAAATACTAGTACAACCCATTCAGTGTACAGATTAAGGTGTTGCCTTAGGCTATTCTCTAGTGGCAACTACTAATCTCATCAGTTTCAGTCAGGTAGCCTAAACCCTCTACCTCTCCAGCAGGCAGACGGTGTGTGAGTGAGATGGACTGGGGTAAATGTAGTGTAGGACGGCTTAGAGCAGGTTGTTCATCCAGCATGGATGAGAGCATCAGCTGTTCCGGATGACTATGTGATCACGCTTTCCGTAGCCGATGTGAGTAAGACTTTTAAGCAGGTCAACATTCACAAGGCCGCAGGGCCAGACGGATTACCAGGACGTGTACTCCGAGCATGCGCTGACCAACTGGCAAGTGTCTTCACTGACATTTTCAACATGTCCATGACTGAGTCTGTAATACCAACATGTTTCAAGCAGACCACCATAGTCCCTGTGTCAAAGAACACTAAGATAACCTGCCTAAATGACTACCGACCCGTAGCACTCACACGTCTGTAGCCATGAAGTGCTTTGAAAGGCTGGTCATGGCTCACATCAACACCATTATCCCAGAAACCCTAAACCCACTCCAATTTGCATACTGCCCCAACAGATCCACAGATGATGCAATCTCTATTGCACGCCACACTGCCCTTTCCCACCTGGACAAGAGGAACACCTACGTGAGAATGCTATTCATTGACTACAGCTCAGCGTTCAACACCATAGTGCCCTCAAAGCTCATCACTAAGCTAAGGACCCTGGGACTAAACACCTCCCTCTGCAACTGGATCCTGGACTTCCTGATCACAGACAACGATGAGACAGCCTATAGGGAGGAGGTCAGAGACCTGGCCGTGTGGTGCCAGGATAACAACCTCTCCCTCAACGTGATCAAGACAAAGGAGATGATTGTGGACTACAGGAAAAAAAAAGAGGACTGCACACGCACCCATTCTTTTTCCCCACAACTGAACTGGAAAAGACAATCAAGGAGAGTGATAGTAACACTAAGCACTGAGCCGAACCAGGGAGAGGCCCCGATAGTAAATCCCCTGCTTTACAGCGCATCTCTGTCCCCACAGACAGTCCATAAATGTAAGATTATAGCCCTCTTACCAACTGGGTCCTCCACAGTATTTATGCCTGCTGGCTGAGAGCATGACAGATCCCTCTGCACCCGTCTTGTAATCTGCAGGGGGAGCTAGGACTGTGTACACTCGTCTGCCTGGCTGGGCTGAGGACAGTGTTATCCCTCTACCTCCTGAGACACAGAGCAAATGAGGAAGAAAGAACATTAGCTATACTGTAAGTTCTGGCAGTTGGTTTGGAGGTGTTTGTAGCTATATCATTTCCTGAGTGTGACACCAACTTAGTTGGGAGTAATAAAAAGCGGGTGATGTCTCACTTCGCTCAGCTCCGGAAACAATATTTATTTCAATTGAGAATAACTTGTATAATGTCATATGAAACTCTACTTACCAGTGATCGTGCCCTCCTCCTCTAGGCCTACGTTTTGTTTCATAGAGGTCTCAGGGGGTGGAGAGCTGGATTCTTTCGCAGGCTTGGGAGTTATGGTACAGCCTCCGAAGAACTTTAGACTGGAAAACTGAAAGAAAGTTAACTAACATTCTTAAAGGTGCTACACATTCAATTTTTTTGCATTTTTGCATTGTAATGTCTGAAAATATATATACTATATCTGGCGCTAATAGTGGAATGATAGGGTTTCACAGTATTACTTACCCGCTAAAATATTGTGTAGCACCTTTAACTTTTGTTTCACATTGCTGTCCATGTCAAGTACAAGCCATAGGCTTCAAATAAAAATTTAGCTAATGGACAAATGGAAATAATTTCATCACAATAGAAGTTGATAGATACAAGTAAAAGGGACAGTAAGCATTAGAACTTGAGTAAAATTAGAAGCTTACAACAACAAAAGGAATACAATGTATCCAATGATGTAACAAAAACAAGGGAATGACAGGTCTGGGTGGCACTTGAGTTTGACACCCAGTGAGTTGCGCGAGGTGAGTAGTTGCCTTGCTACAATGCTAGCAGGATAGCTAGCTAAGTACAAACTAGTAAAAACCAACTAACGTTAGCTATGTCTGGCGTTAACTGTTTCACGTTTCAGCAACGATAGAAGCGAAATGGACTTACCTTCTTTCCTATGTGCCATATCACGAGAATTAACTCAAATGCACCATTAGCTAAAACACACCTGTGATAAATGCTAAAGCTACCAGCTAGATAGCTAGTTAGCATAGCTAGCTACCCTGCTAGTGGGTGTTTTGCAGCTTTTAAGAACTTCTGGAATGACACCCCATCATTTGCATCATTGCATTGACTAAGCGTGCTCCGTTACCACTGAAATAATTTCGCCAAATATCATTCTGTGCACAGCGGTTACAGAAAAAAAAAAAACAAGCAAGCTGGAGCACAGACCTCACTTAGCTATCCACACGAGAATGGAACCAAAAACAGTATGGTTTAGAAACTCTCTGATAGAAGTTGTACTGCCTGCCTCAGTGCCGCTGTCTGACATTGACTCCCTGTATCCTGACCAACACAACAGCTCCCCCTCTGGTCGCATCCAGTAAGATCAACTCCATTGACATGCGCAAACTAAACCAGATGTGAAGAAGTGTTTGACAGCAGCGCATGGGAACCGCGATGTGAATATCAAATAGGTACGGATGGCTCAGCATCAGGACCAGAGTGAGCCTAGTTTGGAATGCGCGCACCCTCTAAACTTCGCTGGAAACCTCAGCATGTGAACGGGATTTGAGGAGGAATTACCTAGAATGTCAGCTCTGAAGAAGGTAACATCATTTTTGATAATCTACCCCTCATGTCATAGTTATACCCTATTCGAAAAGTATGAGGGTGTCGGATTAGCAATGTTGGCAGAACATGGATTTCGGTGTGTTTGAACAGTCAGTGCTTTTAGCATACCCATAGATGAAGTGTTCAGTTGGGAAATGGGTGGGTCTCAGCATCTTACTCCCAAATAAATTTGCTGTACGGCTGATCAGTCTTATGTAATATCCACTGTTTAAGAATTTTGATAGGTGATTTTGGTAGAAAAGATAATGCATTACTTTTTAGTTACCTGCAATTATTAATTCCCCCAGCATCTTTCCTGGAAAGATTCTCATTGGAATGATTTTGCACTGTGGTGCACCTGACATGCTTTTGTTCACAAACACACCTGTGTTCTCTCTGGTTGCTGCTGCATACATGCACAACTTTGTCCCGGAGGAGGAGAGTGAGAGATGAGAACTTTCCAGGCAAAAAACAGCAATTTTTTGTGAGATGTGAACCTCTGAAATTGATCTCTCACAGTGCATCTCATCTCACACACTTCTGTGAACAGCCTGCAGACATGCAATGTGCTGCTGCTATCTGTCTGTGTGGACTATGCTCAGTGGAAATAGTGGTGGGTACCCGGTTGCCTTGCAGGCTTTGAAGGGAGAGCTCGGCTCAGCTAGGGAAGGGAGGCAGGCAGCCGTGTTTGAATAGTCCGTTTCTCTGTCTGTGAGGAGCTGGGAGGAAACCTGGGTAAACATGTTATGTAATGATCGGGTGTTGAGGACACTGTGAGAAAAGTCAAGTATTCAACAAGACTATCTGGGACAATAATACTCTACTAGTACACTGTATTTTTTTTTTTTTCGCCACAGAGCAATAGCAGCAAGACTAGATGTATTCCTGTGTGGGGTGTATAGAATCTGTGAATTAGGTTACATCACTTGGGCTGCGGCTGGCATACTGGAAATGCATATAGTATGATGTGCTATTGTCAGGTATGATGATGAGTCAAAGGCCACAGTAGTTAGGATTCACAGTTTGCAGATGCAAGTATTGATGCCAACAAAAATGCTGTTTTTTGTGTGCAAAATTGGGTTATTGAACACAATGTGAAGAAGTGATGGGAAATGCCTGGTATACCATTGGTACAGTACAATCAATTATCTGGTTGCACAGAGACTGCACATAGGCTAGTGGTTGACAGAGAGTTCCCACTGGGCACAGACGTCAGTTCAACATCTAGTTTTGATTTACATTTGGTTGAGTTGTCAACTAATGTGAATTCAATGTGAAATCAACCAAAAATGTCACCATGTCATTGGATTTAGTTTAAAAGTTGGGTGAAAAAAATATGAAATTCCCTTATGTTGATTACTTTTTGCGAATCAGTTTTCCACGTTGAATTATTTTGTTGAACTGACGTGGAAACAACATTGAGTCAACAAGTTTTTGCCCAATGGGTTGTAAGTATTCCACATACGTCATAGGAGTAAGGTTAAAAATAGGTGTGCATTGTAATTTGCATGTAATCACTCTCCTAAAAGCTGAATGGCACATTGCGATCCCTCAAACCTTATATTTCCTAAACAGTTCAAATACGCTACACCCTGCCTCTTCAATAAAACAAAGAGCTTGTCTTTATTTTAGCTCATAATAGCCAACGTGTCTTTCTTCAATGACAACCAGCTGCGCAGCAGAAACTTTGTGGTAGCATCCTGTGTGTTTCTCTCTGGATGAGGAACAAAGAGGTCCGCTACAGTCGCAACATGGAAACTGCATTTTCTACGATGTGGAAGCAAGCTGAGGGCACGTCCTTGCAAAGTGTTCTGTGTTCATTTATTATGCAAGTGTGTGTGAGAGAGAGTGGTTTGGCAGAGCCCTGTAGTGACAGCCAGGAGGACAGCAGTGTGTAATGAGATGAAGTGAATGGAAGAGGGGGGCGGACCTGGCGTCAAATGAGCAGGGAGTTATCAAGATTGGCAACTGTAAATTATCAGCATGTGTTTGTGTGATATTGTGTGTGTGTGTGTCTTTGTGTGTGTGTGTGTGTGTGTGTGTGTGTGTGTGCGTTCGTGTGTGCGTCAGGGTTGGGCTCAATTCAGAATTGAATTATTGCATTTGAATTGACTTTGAATTGAAGTAGTAAACAGGATACAGAATTGCAATTCGAATTTGCATTAAAGGAAATATAATTGAAATCAGTGAAATTCAATTCAATTATTCTATTCTATATTAGGTGTAGTCTATACAAATATACATCTTGTACATAAAACATCAAACATGTCGTTATACAGTGCCTTTGAAAAGTATTCAGACCCCTTGACTTTTTCCACACTTTGTTACATTACAGCCTTATTCTAAAATGGATTACATAAAAAAAATCCTCAGCAATCTACCCACAATACCCCATAATGACAAAGAGAAGAAAAAAAACATATACATTTTTGCAAATATATTAAAAACAGAAATACATTATTTACGTAAGTATTCAGACCCTTTGCTATGAGACTCAAAATTGAGCTCAGATGCATCGTGTTTCCATTGATCATCCTTGAGATGTTTCTACAACTTGATTGGAGTTCACCTGTGGTAAATTCAATTGATTGGACATGATTTGGAAAAGCACACACCTGCCTACATAAGGTCCCACAGTTGACAGTGCATGTCAGAGAAACCTAATGATGAGGGTGTTATGACCCTTTTCATCATAAAACCAACCATCACATTGAAAGTTATATGAAAGGACAATTTTCTCTTATCTGCATTTGTATTAGTCATTTGGATAGTTGACTTACCTTTGGGAAGAGGTAGAGGTCAGCAAAGGTCAACAAATTGGATGTGTGTCTTATTGGTAACAATGCAATGTTAATACTTGGTCTATAGATTTGATGGCACTGCAACACTCAAGCAAAATCATGCTTGACTGCACTTCAGAATGATTGCACTCTATTGTACTAGGCTGGTTATAGTTGTAATACCATTATCATTGGCTACAAGCCCAGTTCTTTTACAGCCTAGTCCAGGGCCCTATCCACAAAGCCTCTCAGACTAGAGAATTGGTCATAAGAGAATAGAGACATTTTATTCCTACCCTTATGGGTAAAAACGAAAGCTAGGCATGAAGCTTCTTTTGTCATAAGAGTTCCACCTATTCGACAGATATTTAGGACACCTCGTGATAGGGCTGGACGGTATACCATATTTTACGATATACCGGTGGTATATACCCGGTATTGATGCACGGACCGGTTTGGGTTTTTACTTTACCTTATATAAAGGTATGAAAAAAAAAAAAAAAAGGATAAGAGCGTCTGCTAAAATGACTAAAATGTATAAAGGTATTTGAATGTTTGGTTTGTTAAATGTGATACGCCGTGTGTAACGTCCATTTTTATAGTTTACTTCGCTACGTGAGTCATCTCTCTCCGCTCTTTCTCTCTCCATGCCGCTTTCCACACAGACCTAGCCCCGCCCCCTGTCACTCAAGGAGTGCATTTGTTGTTTCTCTACCACGAGACACTTGCGTTCAGTCTCTGCATGGTCAATGCAGCATATGAAACAATGTTGATGACAACGATGCTGTTTTCACTTTGCTTCTTAATATAAATCCACTACTGTTCTATAATTACACTATTAGTTAGTGTTTCTTACATCTGCAAACAGCTAGTTTGTCTTTTCTTAGTAAAATGGGCCTAATTCTTGTTAGCTGCTAATGCTAATTGCTAGCTAACTAATATATGTACTGAGTCAAAGCAAACGTAACTAGCTATACAGCCTGATAATACCAGTGATGGTGTACACCTACATCTGCATGTTTTTTGTGCAACAGTATCTTCTAAATCAGGGGTGCCCAGACTTTAGTTACATAGGATCTACTTTTTCCACCCTCTTCCTAACGCGGTCTACCCCCACCTCCCCTCCCCCCGCCAATATTAAATAACATTTCACCTTATTGATTGGATGATTTGCACTGCATGCTGT